AAAAAACAAATGTTATAAAATAATAAAGGCTAGTATTTACACCACACACGTTATGTGACTAACTGCAGTTATAATACCACAATATTCAAGTGTGTGTGTGTGTGTGTGTGTGTGTGTGTGTGTGTGTGTGTGTGTGTGTGTGTGTGTGTGTGTGTGTGTGTGTGTGTGTGTGTGTGTGTGTGTGTGTGTGTGTGTGTGTGTGTGTGTGTGTGTGTGTGTGTGTGTGTGTGTGTGTGTGTGTGTGTGTGTGTGTGTGTGTGTGTGTGTGTGTGTGTGTGTGTGTGTGTGTGTGTCAGTCCACTCAGTACAGCATGGATCACTTCAGTGGGACTCATAACTGGTTTGCTTGCTCTCACGCCCGACCCACATACTGCAACGTCTGCAGGGAGGCTCTCGGGGGGGTCACCTCCACCGGCCTGTCCTGTGAAGGTAACATGCACGTGCACACACACACACACACACACACACACACACACACACACACACACACACACACATACACACACACACACTGGATTGGAGGTCTCCTGTGGGAAACACTTATCTACAGTTTTGAACATTTTCTGACATTTATGAGACCAAACAGAATTGTGTGTTTGTTTGTGTGTGTGTGTGTGTGTGTTTGTTGTGTGTGTGTTGTGTGTGGGTGTCAGTCTGTAAGTTCAAGGCCCATAAACGCTGTGCAGTCAGAGCCACTAATAACTGTAAGTGGACGACGCTGGCTTCCATCGGGAAGGACATCATCGAGGACGAGGACGGGGTGAGACCACACACACACACACACACACACACACACTCACTCACTCACTCACTCACTCACTCACACAACAAACACATACACACTCATACACTCACAAGCACACACACACACACACACACATGCACACACACACACACACACACCATGTATACATCACTTCAGGGGACATTACATTGACTTACATAGATTTCCTGGAGACTTATCCTAACCTTAACCATAACCAACACATGCCTAACCCTAATGCTTACCCTTAACCTTACCATAACCCTTAACCTAACTCTTAACCTAACCCTAACTCTTACCCTAATCCTTACCAAGTCTTCACCCTAAAATTAATGATTCCCCTCATGGGGACCTCCAATTTGTCCCCATAAGGTAGGCGATTCCCCACACGTGACTGTGTAAACAGATTTAGGTCCTCACAAGTATAGTAATGCTAGGCCACACACACTCTCACACTCTCACACACACACACACACACACACAACACACACACACACACACACACACACACACACACACACACACACACACACACACACTCACTCACACACCCCTTCCTCCCCAGGTCTCCATGCCTCACCAGTGGTTGGAGGGAAACCTCTCTGTGTCGGCGAAGTGTTCGGTCTGTGAGAAAACGTGCGGCAGCGTCCTGAGGCTGCAGGACCTGAAGTGTCTGTGGTGCAAAGCTATGGTGAGTCAGAGTTACGAGTCAGCGTTACGAGTCAGCGTTACGAGTCAGCGTTACGAGTCAGAGTTACGAGTCAGCGTTACGAGTTACGGGTTACGAGTTACGAGTTACGAGTCAGCGTTACGAGTTACGAGTCAGAGTTACGAGTCAGAGTTACGAGTCAGCGTTACGAGTTACGAGTCAGCGTTACGAGTCAGCGTTACGAGTCAGCGTTACGAGTCAGAGTTACGAGTCAGCGTTACGAGTTACGGGTTACGAGTTACGAGTCAGAGTTACGAGTCAGAGTTACGAGTTATGAGTCAGAGTTACGAGTCAGAGTTACGAGTCAGAGTTACGAGTCAGCGTTACGAGTCAGAGTTACGAGTTATGAGTTACGAGTCAGAGTTACGAGTCAGAGTTACGAGTCAGAGTTACGAGTCACGAGTCAGAGTTACGAGTCAGTTACGAGTTATGAGTTACGAGTCAGAGTTACGAGTCAGAGTTACGAGTTATGAGTTACGAGTCAGAGTTACGAGTCAGAGTTACGAGTCAGAGTTAGAGTTACGAGCCAGAGTTACGAGTCAGAGTTACGAGTCAGAGTTATGAGTTACGAGTTACGAGTCAGAGCTACGAGTCAGAGTTACGAGACAGAGTTACGAGTTAGAGTTACGAGTCAGAGTTAGAGTTACGAGTCAGAGTTACGAGTCAGAGTTAGAGTTACGAGTCAGAGTTACGAGTCAGAGTTACGAGACAGATTTACGAGTCAGAGTTACGAGTCAGAGTTACGAGTCAGAGTTATGAGTTACGAGTCAGTAGGGGTGTAACGGTTCACAAACATTTCGGTTCGGTACGTACCTCGGTTTTTTGGTCACGGTTCGGTACGTTTTCGGTACAGCAGAATTTTTTTTCACAAAACAAAACATATATATATATTTTTTATTATTATGAAACTGTGAATAATGTATTCACTCAAATAAATACAAAATATAATAAAATAAACATTAAGGTGCAGCATTTCGATGAACTGAAATAATCTGTATCTGAACTGAACTGTTCCTAAGCAGCCAGTTTGACATTAGGACTTGCTTGTCATTGTATTTTCATGTTTCTTTAAGAAAGATGAACTTGTCCACATTGCTTGCTGAAAGGGCAGATCTGCTGGCTCTAACAATGTCTCTGTGAAGAACACCCTCTCTAGGGACAGAGGTAGCAGATCTGCTGGCTCTAACAATGTCTCTGTGGAGAACACCCTCTCTAGGGACAGAGGTAGCAGATCTGCTGGCTCTAACAATGTCTCTGTGGAGAACACCCTCTCTAGAGACAGAGGTAGCAGATCTGCTGGCTCTAACAATGTCTCTGTGGAGAACACCCTCTCTAGAGACAGAGGTAGCAGATCTGCTGGCTCTAACAATGTCTCTGTGGAGAACACCCTCTCTAGGGACAGAGGTAGCAGATCTGCTGGCTCTAACAATGTCTCTGTGGAGAACACCCTCTCTAGTCTAGGGACAGAGGTAGCACAGCCAGGTAGCGCTTTGCTAACATGGCAACATAAGGATACTTGGCGTTTGTAATAGCTTTGTCTCGGTCTGAACTCTCTGCGAGTGGTGGAGGCTTACATGCTAGCGGGAGTTGGGTTTGCACTTCAGTCTTTTGGTACCGGTGATATTCACGTTCGGGTGATGCCTTTTCAAATGAGTGCAAGTTTGATGTATTGCCAGCCGCGTAACCAATGTTAGTTGAACAATGCCGACAAACAGCTTTGGTTCGGTCCACCTGTCTTTGCCCGTCATCCTTGTTCGTAACTGCGAAACCAAAATGTTCCCAAACCGGAGACTTCAATGATGCTGGAGGATTTTCAGCTCAACTTGATCTGCGTTCGCCATTTCCACAGTTCCTCAAATTACTGACTATATTTGAACGCATCCCTGTGACCAGCTCTCATAGTATGCCTCTCCTCCAATTAAATGACTTGCTCGCTCTATGACGCGTTGAACCCAATGTGAGCAAATTACTCTGAACGCTGCGACGCAGCACCTGAGATTACTTCCAACAAGTTGTTCACGTTCTCAATTTTTTACGTTTAACGTTATATTCGTTCGGTACACTTCAGTGCACACGAGTACCGAACCGAAGGGCCCGTACCGAATAATTTCGGTACGTGTACCGTATAATTTCGGTACGTGTACCGTTACACCCCTACGAGTCAGAGTTATGAGTTACGAGTCAGTGTTATGAGTTACGAGTCAAAGTTATGAGTTACGAGTCAGAGTTATGACTTACGAGTCAGAGTTACGAGTCAGAGTTACGAGTCAGAGTTATGACTTACGAGTCAGAGTTACGAGTCAGAGTTATGAGTTACGAGTCAGTTATGACTTACGAGTCAGAGTTACGAGTCAGAGTTATGACTTACGAGTCAGAGTTACGAGTCAGAGTTACGAGTACGAGTTATGAGTCAGAGATATGAGTCAGAGTTATGAGTTACGAGTCAGAGTTACGAGTACGAGTTATGAGTCAGAGTCAGGGTTATGAGTTACGAGTCAGTGTTATGAGTCAGTTATCACGCATCCCGTATACTGGTTCAGCCAGTGTTGAACTCTGTCCAAAGCATTTGAGAGACAGGATGAGATCGTTTCAGTGTTTTTCCCCTGTACAAAGATGACTGCATCATCGGCTTACATTTGCACATTCAACTCAGGACATACATTAGGCAAGTCATTAATGTACAGAGAAAACAGTAATGGTCCAAGAATGGAACCTTGTGGAACCCCAACAGGGTGCACAAGGGAGGGTAAAAGAGCCTTCTTTCCACCTTTCTTAAGCTCTTTTCTGTTCTTTGGTTTTAGCGCCTGGCCGACGCGCTCACACATCACTCAGACATATTGTTTGTTTTTGGTACATTTATTTCCATGTTATCGTTTTCATTTATTCACTGTTCGTTCTCTTCTTCAAACACAAATGAAGGTATCTTACCAGACGAGGTTGAAACAGTTTCGTCACTTAAATAAACAAATCTTATCTTCTCTGCAGTGCAGCGGTCAAAATACCGTGTGGCTTCACAACCAAACTAGAACCCAGAGTATAATCAGCAGGACTCTTTTAACCAGCTGAGGCCATCGCAGCACCAATCAGTCGCTCCGCCCAGCCGTGGCTGCAGATCACGATCAAATGACACCAATCAATTATACTCCATTACATACATTAAATGATTAAATAATCAAAATAATAAATCAACGTTTTGGCTCCTACAGAGGGGGATTTGGCTCCGTGGACAAAAACACACTGTTTTCTGTTCGATAAGTAGGACTTGAGCCAATGTATAGAAACTCCAGAGAAATTGAAATACATCAGCTTTGTAAGGAGCACTTGGTGGTCGACAGCGTCAAAAGCCTTCCTGTGATCAAGGAAGACAGCACCTACATATGGGCTCGTCTCCAACATACATTGAACCTTTTCCACAAAGACACAGTTAGCTGTCTCAGTGGAGTGGTGAGCATGGAAACCAAACTGCATTGGGTGGATTGGAGCGAAGCCTTTGTCTAAGTGTTTGGTGATTAGTTTTGATCCCTATTTCTCAGCTACCTTAGAGACACAGGGGAGGATGCTGGTTGGTCTGTAGTTGGACATCATTGCCTTATCCCCAGATTTAAAGATCGTGTCACCGTGGCCACCTTCCACGATGATGGAACTTCCGTCGTGCTGATCGATTGATTTACTAGCATACTAATTGGTTTTATTAGACCGTCGATATGTGTTTTTATAAAGTTGGTATCTAAATCATCTGCATCCCTCGCCTTAGAACCTCTTAATCCTGAGATGATATGTTTTACCTCCACCTCTATGATTTCCTCCAGCTCAAAAACGGGGTGTGTATCCACAGTCGGGCTGGGGGAGACCTCAGATGGCGGGAAGAGCTTTGTGATGTCCAGAGCACTATTTATGAACTACTCATTAGAGAGCTGGCCCACACGGCCGGGTCTCTCATCATGTTCCTGTTTCCTGTTTACCGTTACCTTTCCCTTCAATTATATTAATGAAGAAGTTCGCTTTGGCCTGTCTTAGTGTTTGAGTTACCTTGGTTACTAGCATGAGTGAGTCAGCAGTTTGTGTCCTGCAGGTGCATGCTGTTTGTAAGGATCAGCTGTCCTCTAAATGTCCTCTGGGTCAGTGCAAGGTGTCCGTCATCCCCCCCACAGCACTCAACAGCATCGACTCTGACGGTGAGACACTCACACACTCACTCACTCACACACACACACACACACACACACACACACACACACACACACACACACACACACACACACACACACTCTCTCTCTCTCTCTCTCTCTCTCTCTCTCTCTCTCTCTCTCTCTCTCTCTCTCTCTCTCTCTCTCTCTCTCACACTCACACACACATTTTTTTACTTTCCCATGCTGCTCATCACATTACTGCGCCTGTTAGCACGTTAGCATGTTATCCTGGCTGTCTTTGGGGTGGTTCCCTTCAGCATCACATGCTAGTGAAGGGTAGCTAACTGTGTTTGTGTCTGTGTGTGTGTTTTGTGTGTGTCAGGGTTCTGGAAGGCCTCCTGCCCCCCCTCCTGCACCAGTCCTCTGCTGGTCTTTGTGAACTCTAAGAGTGGACACAACCAGGGGGTGAAGTTCCTGCGACGCTTCAAACAGCTGCTGAACCCGGCACAAGTGTTCGACCTGATGAACGGGGGGCCACACCTGGGGTACACACACACACACACACACACACACACACACACACACACACACACACACACACACCATGGCATGTTACAGCAGGAAATTAATATTACATGAAAGGTGTGTGTGTGTGTGTGTGTGTGTGTGTGTGTGTGTGTGTGTGTGTGTGTGTGTGTGTGTGTGTGTGTGTGTGTGTGTGTGTGTGTGTGTGTGTGTGTGTGTGTGTGTGTGTGTGTGTGTGTGTGTGTGTGTGTGTGTGTGTGTGTGTGTGTGTGTGTGTGTGTGTGTGTGTGTGTGTGTGTGTGTGTGTGTGTGTGTGTGTGTGTGTGTGTGTGTGTGTGTGTGTGTGTGTGTGTGTGTGTGTGTGTGTGTGTGTGTGTGTGTGTGTGTGTGTGTGTGTGTGTGTGTGTCAGGCTGCGTCTGTTCCAGAAGTTTGACACGTTCAGGACCTTGGTGTGTGGAGGAGACGGCAGCGTCGGCTGGGTTCTGTCCGACATCGACGCTCTGACGCTGCACAAACAGGTACGACTCATTCCCCTGCTGACGCTGCACAAACAGGTACGACTCATTCTCCTGCTGACGCTGCACAAACAGGTACGACTCATTCTCCCGCTGACGCTGCACAAACAGGTACGACTCATTCTCCCGCTGACGCTGCACAAACAGGTACGACTCATTCTCCTGCTGACGCTGCACAAACAGGTACGACTCATTCTCCTGCTGACGCTGCACAAACAGGTACGACTCATTCTCCTGCTGACGCTGCACAAACAGGTACGACTCATTCCCCTGCTGACTGTAGCGAACCCAGGGTCAAAGCTCCTCATCGGCAGCTACATGTTAGCATGTTAGCAGAGCTCTGATCAGCCAAACTTCTTTCAGAAAACAAGCCATCAGAAGACAGTCCTGACATAGCATGACTCAGCATTTTACTCACCATATGTTGTTTTGTTGCAGTGTCAGCTGGGGGTTCTTCCTCTGGGGACCGGGAACGATCTGGCCCGGGTGCTGGGCTGGGGGTCAGCCTGCGACGACGACACACAACTGCCTCAGATCCTGGAGAAACTGGAGAGGGCCAGCACCAAGATGTTAGACAGGTAACATGTGAGACAGGTGACATGTGAGACATGTCACCTGTGAGACAGGTGACATGTGAGACAGGTGAGACAGGTGACATGTGAGACAGGTGACATGTGAGACAGGTGACATGTGAGACATGTGAGACAGGTGACATGTGAGACAGGTCACATGTGAGACAGGTCACATGTGAGACAGGTCACATGTGAGACAGGTGAGACAGGTGACATGTGAGACAGGTAAAATGTGAGACGTGAGACAGGTGACATGTGAGACAGGTGACATGTGAGACAGGTGACATGTGACATGTGAGACAGGTGACATGTGAGACAGGTGACATGTGAGACAGGTGACATGTGAGACAGGTGACATGTGAGACAGGTGACATGTGAGACAGGTAACATGTGAGACAGGTAACAGGTTAGGCAGGTGACATGTGAGACAGGTGAGATGTGAGGCAGGTGACATGTGAGACAGGTGACATGTGAGACAGGTGAGACAGGTGACAGGTGAGACAGGTGACATGTGAGACAGGTGGCATGTGAGACAGGTAACATGTGAGACAGGTGACATGTGAGACAGGTAACATGTGAGACAGGTGACAGGTGAGATGAGACAGGTGAGACAGGTGACATGTGAGACAGGTGACATGTGAGACAGGTAACATGTGAGACAGGTGACAGGTGAGATGAGACAGGTGAGACAGGTAACATGTGAGACAGGTAACATGTGAGACAGGTGACATGTGAGACATGTGAGACAGGTGACATGTGAGACAGGTGACATGTGAGACAGGTGACAGGTGAGACAGGTGACATGTCAGACAGGTGACAGGTGAGACAGGTAGCATGTGAGACAGGTGACATGTGAGACAGGTGACATGTGAGACAGGTGAGACAGGTGACATGTGAGACAGGTGACATGTGAGGCAGGTGACATGTGAGACAGGTGACATGTGAGACAGGTGAGGCAGATGACATGTGAGACAGGTGACATGTGAGACAGGTGACATGTGAGACAGGTGACATGTTCGGCAGGTGACATTTGAGACAGGTGACATGTGAGACAGGTGAGACATGTGACATGTGAGTCAGGTGACATGTGAGACAGGTGACATGTGAGGCAGGTGACATGTGAGACAGGAGACATGTGAGACAGGTGACCGGTGAGACAGGTGACCGGTGAGACAGGTGAGACAGGTGACATGTGAGACAGGTAACATTTGAGATGTGAGACAGGTGAGACAGGTAACATGTGAGACAGGTGACAGGTGATACAGGTGACATATGAGGCAGGTGACATGTGAGACAGGTGACATGTGAGACAGGTGACATGTGAGACAGGTGACATGTGAGACAGGTGACATGTGTGACAGGTGAGACAGGTAACATGTGAAACAGGTGACATGTGAGACAGGTAACATGTGAGACATGTGAGACAGGTAATATGTGAGACAGGTAACATGTGAGACAGGTGAGACAGGTAACATGTGAGACAGGTGACATGGGATACAGGTAACATGTTAGACAGGTAACAGGTGAGACAGGTTAGGCAGGTGACATGTGAGACAGGTGAGACATGTGACATGTGAGACATGTGAGACAGGTGACATGTGAGGCATGTGAGACAGGTGACATGTGAGACAGGTGAGACAGGTGATAGGTGAGACAGGTGACATGTGAGATAGGTGACAGCTGAGACAGGTGACATGTGAGACAGGTGAGACAGGTGACAGGTGAGACAGGTGACATGTGAGACAGGTGACAGGTGAGACAGGTGACATGTGAGACATGTGAGACAGGTGAGACATGTGAGACAGGTGACAGGTAACATGTGAGGCAGGTGACATGTGAGACATGTGAGACAGGTGACATGTGAGACAGGTGACATTTGAGACCGGTGACATGTGAGAGGTGAGGCAGGTGACATGTGAGACAGGTGAGACAGGTGACATGTGAGGCAGGTGACATGTGAGGCAGGTGACATGTGAGGCAGGTGACATGTGAGACAGATGAGACAGGTGACATGTGAGGCAGGTGAGGCAGGTGACATGTGAGGCAGGTGACATGTGAGACAGATGAGACAGGTGACATGTGAGACAGGTGAGACAGGTGACATGTGAGACAGGTGACAGGTGAGACAGGTAACATGTGAGACAGGTGAGACAGGTGACATGTGAGACAGGTGACATGTGATACAGGTGACAGGTGACATGTGAGACAGGTAACATGTGAGACAGGTGACATGTGAGACAGGTGAGATGTGAGACAGGTGACATGTGAGACAGGTGACATGTGAGACAGGTGACATGTGAGACAGGTGACATGTGAGACAGGTAACATGTGAGACAGGTGACAGTTGAGACAGGTGACATGTGAGACAGGTAACATGTGAGACAGGTGACATGTGATACAGGTGACATGTGAGACAGGTAACATGTGAGACAGGTGACATGTGAGACAGGTGACATGCGAGACAGGTAACATGTGAGACAGGTGACAGGTGAAACAGGTGACAGGCGAGACAGGTGACATGTGAGACAGGTGACAGGTGAGACAGGTGACAGTTGAGACATGTGACATGTGAGACAGGTGACATGTGAGACAGGTGACATGTGAGACAGGTGACATGTGAGACAGGTGACAGGTGAGACAGGTGACTTGTGAGACAGGTGACATGTGAGACAGGTGAGGCAGGTGACAGGTGACATGTGAGACAGGTGACATGTGAGACAGGTGACATGTGAGACAGGTGAGGCAGGTGACAGGTGACATGTGAGACAGGTGACATGTGAGACAGGTGAGGCAGGTGACAGGTGACATGTGAGACAGGTGACATGTGAGACAGGTGACATGTGAGACAGGTGACATGTGAGACAGGTGACAGGTGACATGTGAGACAGGTAACTGTCTGTCTCTCCTGCAGGTGGAGTATTATGGTCTATGAGACCAAGTTTCCACGGCAATACTCGGCCTCCACAGAGGACTGCAGTGACGACTCAGAGGTAAACTGTGACATCACTTCCTGCTGTTATGTCAGAGGAAACCGTCACGTTAAAATGAAATGTATGACATGTTGTTCTCATAAATGATTAGATGTAGTTATGGAGTGTTCCCTGTGCCTCAGGTGCAGCAGATCCTCACCTGCGAGGACTCAGTGGCTGCTCACCTGACCAAGATCCTGACCTCAGACCAGCACTCTGTGGTCATCTCCTCTGCCAGGTACCTGTCTGTCTGTCTCTCTGTCTTTCTGTCTGTCTCTCTGTCTGTCTGTCTCTCTGTCTGTCTGTCTCTCTGTCTCTCTGTCTGTCTCTCTGTCTCTCTGTCTGTCTCTCTGTCTCTCTGTCTCTCTGTCTGCCTGTCTCTCTGTCTGTCTGTCTGTCTCTCTGTCTGTCTGTCTCTCTGTCTGTCTGTCTCTCTGTCTCTCTTTCTGTCTCTCTGTCTCTCTGTCTGTCTGTCTGTCTGTCTCTCTGTCTCTCTGTCTGCCTGTCTCTGTCTGTCTGTCTGTCTCTCTGTCTGTCTGTCTGACTGTCCGTCTCTCTGTCTGCCTGTCTCTCTGTCTGTCTGTCTGTCTGTCTGTCTGTCTGTCTGCATGTCTGTCTGTCTGTCTGTCTGTCTGTCTGTCTGTCTGTCTCTCTGTCTCTCTGTCTGTCTGTCTGTCTCTCTGTCTGTCTGTCTGTCTGTCTGTCTGTCTGTCTGTCTGTCTGTCTGTCTCTCTCTCTGTCTCTCTGTCTGTCTCTCTGTCTCTCTGTCTGTCTCTCTGTCTCTCTGTCTGTCTGTCTCTCTGTCTGTCTGTCTGTCTCTCTGTCTGTCTGTCTGTCTGTCTCTCTCTCTGTCTGTCTCTCTGCCTTTCTGTCTGTCTGCCTGTCTGTCTGTCTGCCTGTCTGTCTCTCTGCCTGCCTGCCTGCCTGCCTGCCTGCCTGCCTGCCTGCCTGCCTGTCTGTCTCTCTGCCTGTCTGTCTGTCTCTCTTTCTGTCTGTCTGCCTGTCTGTCTGTCTGCCTGTCTGTCTGCCTGTCTGTCTGCCTGTCTGTCTCTCTATAATGAGCTGTATGTGTCCTCAGGGTTCTGTGTGAGACGGTGAAGGACTTTGTGGCTCGGGTTGGTAAAGCTTACGAGAAAAACAAAGAAAGCTCAACTGAGTCCGAGGCCATGAGCAAGAAGGTATGTTATAGTTTATACCTCTACTGTTAGGGTTAGTAACCCTCTACTGTTAGGGTTAGTAACCCTCTACTGTTAGGGTTAGTAACCCTCTACTGTTAGGGTTAGTAACCCTCTACTGTTAGGGTTAGTAACCCTCTACTGTTGCATATTTATAAATATATAAACTACATTTATAAAACGGACAAGTCAAATCAAGCAATCTGATTGGTTCTTAGCCGTGATATACTGAGCGTATACCACGGGTAGAATTGTAAGTTACTTTTCACAACAAGTCAGTATCCCTCCGCGTCTGAGAAAAACAGTATACCGTTGGGCTGTAAAGATAACTGCCTGCAGTTTGCTTTTCAAACTGGAACAAGAAAGCAGCGGAGAAGTAACGGGGCAGAAACCCTCCTTGTTACGCAGCGCTCCAGACGTAGACATCAAACGGCGACACATATTCAGTGTGCAGTTCCTTTGGCTTTAGGGCAGGATATCTAGATACTCTCCAAGGTCTGACATCATGAAGTGTGCTACTTTTAAAGCAAGCAGCGATGTTTTCAAATCTGTAATCAAAAAGGTCCGCAAAAACACTATCGACCAATCAGATTGCTTGATTTGACTTGTCCTTTTATAAATATATTTACATTTCTTCCGTTACGAAACAAACTTACAAAGCATAAGATGGAAACATTTAAGATTAACTTGGACCTCCGGGGGGTCTCACTATGGAGGAGTGGACTGAGCAGTGCCTCTCCAGAGAGCACCTACAGGACGACATGCAGAGCTCCGTGAAGAGCAGGTAGACCAACTGGAAAGGACCTCCATTCAGAAGCTTTCTGATGGGGTCTTGAACCAAAGCAGAGAGATGATGAGCGTTAGTGGCCACAGGTGCAAAGCTCTCTCCAGAGCTGCTGGAAGCCCAATCTCAGGGACCGGAGAAAGTGGAGCAATATTCTGACCACGCCAAGCAACAGCCTAGAACAACCTCAACCTATCCAATGACCTCGTGAGCATGCTACTGATGCTGCACAGGTTTCAGTGGCTGCACAATAAACAGCAACAAACACATGAATGTGAATAAAGAGCCAGATAATGGATCAATGCTCTCTGTCTAATATGTTCGCTAGCTGTTAGTGTTGTTGCCTAGCAACCACCTCGCACTATGTTTCGTGCAGGAGGCAACGGAGGGACTATTTTATTTTGAACATCATTATTTACTAATACAAACTATTTAAATTAGTGTGTGTTTTTCTTTCATATTGCCACACGTGGTAACCGTTTAATAAAAGCAATAGCTCACTTCAGGCCGTGATATATGCTCAGTATATCACGTTGGTCGAACGCACTTATTGTAAGTCGCTTTGGATAAAAGCGTCAGCTAAATGCAATTTGATGTAATGTAATGTATATCACAGCTAAGGGGGTTGAACCACGCCCCCTAGAGGTGAGTCATGTTCCTGATGGAGGAGGAGATGAGTCATGTTCCTGATGGAGGAGATGAGTCATGTTCCTGATGCGATGAGTCATGTTCCTCTCATGTACTTCCTGTGATGTTATGTACTTCCTGTGATGTACTTCCTGTGGAGTCATGTTTCTGTTGTCAGTGTGTTGTGTTGAAGGAGAAGCTGGATTCGCTGCTGAAGACTCTGAGTGAGGAGTCGCAGGCGTCCCCCCCTCCCCATCCGGCCCCCCCCCCCCACCATCGCTGAGGAAGAGGAGGGAGATCTGCCTCCTCTTCATCATCTTCATCTTCATCATCCTCCTCCTCACTGCCCCCCGAAGACCAGCGCCGCCATCTTTAAACCCAGAGAGCAGCTGATGCTGAGAGCGAACAGCCTGAAGAAGGCCATCAGACAGGTCATCGAGCACACTGAGAGAGGTGAGACGGGTCCTCGAGCACACTGAGAGAGGTGAGACAGGTCCTAGAGCACACTGAGAGAGGTGAGACAGGTCCTAGAGCACACTGAGAGAGGTGAGACAGGTCCTAGAGCACACTGAGAGAGGTGAGACGGGTCCTAAAGCACACTGAGAGAGGTGAGACAGGTCCTAGAGCACACTGAGAGAGGTGAGACAGGTCCTAGAGCACACTGAGAGAGGTGAGACGGGTCCTCGAGCACACTGAGAGAGGTGAGACAGGTCCTAGAGCACACTGAGAGAGGTGAGACAGGTCCTAGAGCACACTGAGAGAGGTGAGACGGGTCCTAGAGCACACTGAGAGAGGTGAGACAGGTCCTAGAGCACACTGAGAGAGGTGAGACGGGTCCTCGAGCACACTGAGAGAGGTGAGACAGGTCCTAGAGCACACTGAGAGAGGTGAGACAGGTCCTAGAGCACACTGAGAGAGGTGAGACAGGTCCTAGAGCACACTGAGAGAGGTGAGACAGGTCCTAGAGCACACTGAGAGAGGTGAGACAGGTCCTAGAGCACACTGAGAGAGGTGAGACGGGTCCTCGAGCACACTGAGAGAGGTGAGACGGGTCCTCGAGCACACTGAGAGAGGTGAGAGACGGTCCTCGAGCACACTGAGAGAGGTGAGACAGGTCCTAGAGCACACTGAGAGAGGTGAGACGGGTCCTCGAGCACACTGAGAGAGGTGAGACAGGTCCTAGAGCACACTGAGAGAGGTGAGACGGGTCCTAAAGCACACTGAGAGAGGTGAGACGGGTCCTAAAGCACACTGAGAGAGGTGAGACGGGTCCTCGAGCACACTGAGAGAGGTGAGACAGGTCCTAGAGCACACTGAGAGGTGAGACGGGTCCTCGAGCACACTGAGAGAGGTGAGACGGGTCCTCGAGCACACTGAGAGAGGTGAGACGGGTCCTCGAGCACACTGAGAGAGGTGAGACGGGTCCTCGAGCACACTGAGAGAGGTGAGACAGGTCCGAGAGCACACTGAGAGAGGTGAGACGGGTCCTCGAGCACACTGAGAGAGGTGAGACAGATCCTAGAGCACACTGAGAGAGGTGAGACAGGTCCTAAAGCACACTGAGAGAGGTGAGACGGGTCCTCGAGCACACTGAGAGAGGTGAGACGGGTCCTAGAGCACACTGAGAGAGGTGAGACGGGTCCTCGAGCACACTGAGAGAGGTGAGACGGGTCCTAGAGCACACTGAGAGAGGTGAGACAGGTCCTCAAGCACACTGAGAGAGGTGAGACAGGTCCTAGAGCACACTGAGAGAGGTGAGACGGGTCCTCGAGCACACTGAGAGAGGTGAGACGGGTCCTCGAGCACACTGAGAGAGGTGAGACGGGTCCTAGAGCACACTGAGAGAGGTGAGACGGGTCCTCGAGCACACTGAGAGAGGTGAGACAGGTCCTAAAGCACACTGAGAGAGAGGTGAGACAGGTCCTAAAGCACACTGAGAGAGAGGTGAGACAGGTCCTAAAGCACACTGAGAGAGAGGTGAGACAGGTCCTCAAGCACACTGAGAGAGAGGTGAGACAGGTCCTCTAAAGCACACTGAGAGAGAGGTGAGACAGGTCCCTAAAGCACACTGAGAGAGAGGTGAGACAGGTCCTAAAGCACACTGAGAAGAGAGGTGAGACAGGTCCTAAAGCACACTGAGATAGAGGTGAGACAGGTCCTCAAGCACACTGAAAGAGAGGTGAGACAGGTCCTAAAGCACACTGAGAGAGAGGTGAGACAGGTCCTAAAGCACACTGAGAGAGAGGTGAGACAGGTCCTAAAGCACACTGAGAGAGAGGTGAGACAGGTCCTCAAGCACACTGAAAGAGAGGTGAGACAGGTCCTAAAGCACACTGAGAGAGAGGTGAGACAGGGTCCTAAAGCACACTGAGAGAGAGGTGAGATAGGTCCAATCACACGAGAGGAGAGGTGAGAGAGAGAGTGAGACAGGTCCTCAAGCACACTGAGAGAGAGGTGAGACAGGTCCTCAAGCACACTGAGAGAGAGGTGGAGACAGGTCCCTCAAGCACACTGAGAGAGAGGTGAGACAGGTCCTCAAGCACACTGAGAGAGAGGTGAGACAGGTCCTCAAGCACACTGAGAGAGAGGTGAGACAGGTCCTAAAGCACACTGAGAGAGAGGTGAGACAGGTCCTAAAGCACACTGAGAGAGAGGTGAGACAGGTCCTCAAGCACACTGAGAGAGAGGTGAGACAGGTCCTAAAGCACACTGAGAGAGAGGTGAGACAGGTCCTAAAGCACACTGAGAGAGAGGTGAGACAGGTCCTCAAGCACACTGAGAGAGAGTGAGACAGGTCCTCAAGCACACTGAGAAGAGAGGTGAGAACAGTCCTCAAGCACACTGAGAGAGAGGTGAGACAGGTCCTAAAGCACACTGGAGAGAGAAGGTGAGACGGTCCTAAGCACACTGAGAGAGAGGTGAGACAGGGTCCTAAAGCACACTGAGAGAGAGGTGAGACAGGTCCTCAAGCACACTGAGAGAGAGGTAGACAGGTCCTCAAGCACACTGAGAGAGAGAGGTAGACAGGTCCTCAAGCACCTGAGAGAGAGGTGAGACAGGTCCTCAAGCACACAGAGAGAGGTGAGACAGGTCCTCAAGCACACTGAGAGAGAGGTGAGACAGGTCCTCAAGCACACTGAGAGAGAGGTGAGACAGGTCCTCAAGCACACTGAGAGAGAGGTGAGACAGGTCCTCAAGCACACTGAGAGAGAGGTGAGACAGGTCCTCAAGCACACTGAGAGAGAGGTGAGACAGGTCCTCAAGCACACTGAGAGAGAGGTGAGACAGGTCCTCAAGCACACTGAGAGAGAGGTGAGACAGGTCCTAAAGCATGAAAGGTGGATTATTTACGATGATGTTTACTAACTGGTTTGTTGATGGTTCCCAGCGGTGGACGAGCAGAACGCTCAGACCCTGTTCTCTCTCGGGGGGGAGGGTCTCCTGGAGGAGGACGAGGAGGACAAGATGTCTCTGCAGTCGTCCTGCAGCGCCAAGAGGTCACACAAAGGTCAGTCCCACTGGCACTGATACTGGTACTGGTCCTAACAATTGTACTAGTCATGATACTGGTACTGGTCCTAACCCTGGTACTAGTACTGGTACTGGTCCTAATACTGGTACTGGTCCTAACACTGGTACTGGTTCTGGTACTGGTACAGCCAGGGGTGTAGTGCTGAACGCCGCTCCGGCACTTCACAAAGTGCAGTACCCTAAGGAGCCTTCTTTAGTTGAAAGCCCAGTGATGATCTGTTCATACTGATCATACAATAAAACCATAGAAAATAATATGATACAGTACTTCTGGGTTCTGAGTCATTCAAGCTCGGCCATGTGTGTGGCACAAGCTCATTCTGTGTGAGCGAGCGAGAGAGAGATAGAGAGAGAGCGCGCACCGGTACCAGGGATTGTTGTTGTTAGCATCTGGTTAGCTAGCTAACGGATATAAGATGCTGTTTCTACACCAAGGTGGAAGAGAGCTCTCACCTGTTAGACTGAGAGGCTCTGATAACTACAGCTCAGACTGAGAGGCTCTGATAGCTACAGCTCAGACTGAGAGGCTCTGATAACTACAGCTCAGACTGAGAGGCTCTGATAACTACAGCTCAGACTGAGAGGCTCTGATAACTACAGCTCAGACTGAGAGGCTCAGATAACTACAGCTCAGACTGAGAGGCTCTGATAACTACAGCTCAGACTGAGACTCTGATAACTACAGCTCAGACTGAGACTCTGATAACTACAGCTCAGACTGAGATAGATAACTACAGCTCAGACTAAGAGGCTCTGATAACTACAGCTCAGACTGAGAGGCTCTGATAACTACAGCTCAGACTGAGACTCTGACAACTACAGCTCAGACTGAGGCTCTGATAACTATAGCTCAGACTGAGACTCTGATAACTACAGCTCAGACTGAGAGGCTCTGATAACTACAGCTCAGACTGAGACTCTGATAACTACAGCTCAGACTGAGGCTCTGATAACTACAGCTTAGACTGAGAGGCTCTGATAACTACAGCTCAGACTGAGACTCTGACAACTACAGCTCAGACTGAGGCTCTGATAAACTACAGCTCAGACTGAGACTCTGATAACTACAGCTCAGACTGAGGCTCTGATAACAACAGCTCAGACTGAGAGGCTCTGATAACTACAGCTCAGACTGAGACTCTGATAACTACAGCTCAGACTGAGACTCTGATAACTACAGCTCAGACTGAGAGAGATAACTACAGCTCAGACTGAGCGAGATAACTACAGCTCAGACTAAGAGGCTCTGATAACTACAGCTCAGACTGAGAGGCTCAGATAACTACAGCTCAGACTGAGAGGCTCTGATAACTACAGCTCAGACTGAGACTCTGATAACTACAGCTCAGACTGAGACTCTGATAACTACAGCTCAGACTGAGAGAGATAACTACAGCTCAGACTAAGAGGCTCTGATAACTACAGCTCAGACTGAGAGGCTCTGATAACTACATCTCAGACTGAGTCTCTGACAACTACAGCTCAGACTGAGGCTCTGATAACTATAGCTCAGACTGAGACTCTGATAACTACAGCTCAGACTGAGAAGCTCTGATAACTACAGCTCAGACTGAGACTCTGATAACTACAGCTCAGACTGAGGCTCTGATAACTACAGCTCAGACTGAGAGGCTCTGATAACTACAGCTCAGACTGAGACTCTGACAACTACAGCTCAGACTGAGGCTCTGATAACTACAGCTCAGACTGAGAGGCTCTGATAACTACAGCTCAGACTGAGACTCTGATAACTACAGCTCAGACTGAGGCTCTGATAACTACAGCTCAGACTGAGAGGCTCTGATAACTACAGCTCAGACTGAGACTCTGATAACTACAGCTCAGACTGAGACTCTGATAACTACGGCTCAGACTGAGAGAGATAACTACAGCTCAGACTGAGAGGCTCTGATGACTACAGCTCAGACTGAGAGGCTCTGATAACTACAGCTCAGACTGAGACTCTGAAAACTACAGCTCAGACTGAGGACTCTGACAACTACAGCTCAGACTGAGGCTCTGATAACTATAGCTCAGACTGAGAGGCTCTGATAACTACAGCTCAGACTGAGACTTTGATAACTACAGCTCAGACTGAGGCTCTGATAACTACAGCTCAGACTGAGAGGCTCTGATAACTACAGCTCAGACTGAGACTCTGACAACTACAGCTCAGACTGAGGCTCTGATAACTATAGCTCAGACTGAGACTCTGATAACTACAGCTCAGACTGAGAGGCTCTGATAACTACAGCTCAGACTGAGACTCTGATAACTACAGCTCAGACTGAGGCTCTGATAACTACAGCTCAGACTGAGAGGCTCTGATAACTACAGCTCAGACTGAGACTCTGATAACTACAGCTCAGACTGAGGCTCTGATAACTACAGCTCAGACTGAGACTCTGATAACTACAGCTCAGACTGAGGCTCTGATAACTACAGCTCAGACTGAGAGACTCTGATAACTACAGCTCAGACTGAGGCTCTGATAACTACAGCTCAGACTGAGAGGCTCTGATAACTACAGCTCAGACTGATAGAGATAACTACAGCTCAGACTGAGAGGCTCTGATAACTACAGCTCAGACTGAGAGGCTGTGATAACTACAGCTCAGACTGAGAGAGATAACTACAGCTCAGACTGAGAGGCTCTGATAACTACAGCTCAGACTGAGAGGCTCTGATAACTACAGCTCAGACTGATACTCTGATAACTACAGCTCAGACTGAGGCTCTGATAACTACAGCTCAGACTGAGAGGCTCTGATAACTACAGCTCAGACTGAGACTCTGATAACTACAGCTCAGACTGAGGCTCTGATAACTACAGCTCAGACTGAGGCTCTGGTAACTACAGCTCAGACTGAGAGACTCTGATAACTACAGCTCAGACTGAGACTCTGATAACTGCAGCTCAGACTGAGAGAGATAACTACAGCTCAGACTGAGAGGCTCTGATAACTACAGCTCAGACTGAGAGGTTCTGATAACTACAGCTCAGACTGAGAGGCTCTGATAACTACAGCTCAGACTGAGAGGCTCTGATAACTATAGCTCAGACTGAGACTCTGATAACTACAGCTCAGACTGAGAGGCTCTGATAACTACAGCTCAGACTGAGACTCTGATAACTACAGCTCAGACTGAGGCTCTGATAACTACAACTCAGACTGAGACTCTGATAACTACAGCTCAGACTGAGAGGCTCTGATAACTACAGCTCAGACTGAGACTCTGATAACTACAGCTCAGACTGAGGCTCTGATAACTACAGCTCAGACTGAGAGGCTCTGATAACTACAGCTCAGACTGAGACTGTGATAACTACAGCTCAGACTGAGACTCTGATAACTACAGCTCAGACTGAGAGAGATAACTACAGCTCAGACTGAGAGGCTCTGATGACTACAGCTCAGACTGAGAGGCTTTGATAACTACAGCTCAGACTGAGACTCTGACAACTACAGCTCAGACTGAGACTCTGACAACTACAGCTCAGACTGAGGCTCTGATAACTATAGCTCAGACTGAGAGGCTCTGATAACTACAGCTCAGACTGAGACTCTGATAACTACAGCTCAGACTGAGGCTCTGATAACTACAGCTCAGACTGAGAGGCTCTGATAACTACAGCTCAGACTGAGACTCTGACAACTACAGCTCAGACTGAGGCTCTGATAACTATAGCTCAGACTGAGACTCTGATAACTACAGCTCAGACTGAGAGGCTCTGATAACTACAGCTCAGACTGAGACTCTGATAACTACAGCTCAGACTGAGGCTCTGATAACTACAGCTCAGACTGAGAGGCTCTGATAACTACAGCTCAGACTGAGACTCTGATAACTACAGCTCAGACTGAGGCTCTGATAACTACAGCTCAGACTGAGACTCTGACAACTACAGCTCAG